TACCTATACCAATACCATATTTGGCCTTTTAATCTTTTGATTAATGCCGAATCGTCGCTTTTTTTTCGTAGTAATTATTATTATACATCCCAATGTACCACACAACCCACTACTACTATATCATTATCTTCAAAATGATTAACTATCCCATTATCATAAAGCCCATTTATAAAAGAAATACATTTATACCAATATGCCTATGTTGTTAGATTTTCAATTAACACTATCAAATGACGGAAAGAAGAAAGAGTGTTGAAAAACAAAAGAATTAAAAATGGATGTGGTTTACAGGGAAAAAAATGAAATGAAACAAATATCACAGATAAAAAGATAATTATCCATTTCAAATATTTAACTAATAAAAATTGAACAATGAAATAATTTTATTTCTCTTAAACATATAATTTTTCCTATTGTTTTTATTATAATAATGAAATAATTATAAAAAGTGAAATTAGAAATGATGAAAAAAATAAATTTGAATCGAATTATAACTAAATGAATTAATTATAAAAGAAATGAATAGACGACAAAATATACTATAAAATATAAAAATGAAGAAAAATATCAAATATGCGAATTACATATAAATTACCACAACGAAAAATAATAATTAGAATTAAAATAAAAATATATTAATTACTGTAATTGTTAAATCATTTTAAATGTTAATAATTTCTCCTTTCAACTAATTTCATTTGTCTAATTAAATTTCTTATTTTCAACTTTTTCTATTTGAGCAAAAATTTTCAACTAAATAAAATTATCATATGGTGCTTTTTTAAACTTAACTATTTAGATATATGATAGCTAGTTCCATTAGAAATTAATTTCTAATTTATATGAACTTATTAATTTCAGTAATTAATGAAAGAATGAAAGTTAAAAATAACAGTTCTTTGTTTTCTTGCTTTTTTTAATTTAACATTTAATTTGCAAAAATGATTTAACAACGTATATTTTGCTTGCATCGTTCATTATTCATCCAAATTACTTGTTTCTTCATTTTTTAGTTTATTTTTATTCTCTTCACTTTTCAAACTATACAAGTTGAAAATATGCAAAAATAATATCACTAATTAATTTAAAAAAAAAAACAATGATAAATTTAAATATCTTGAAAAAATCATTATTCTCATTAATCATTATTCTCAATCATTATTCTCATTTGATTTCATTCGATTTAGCAATTACTGTAAAATTGATGTAAATTGTTTTTGTTTATACTGATATGATATAGATATGATATTTTTATGAAATTGGAAACAATTTAACATCAACATATATAAAAGAAGAAGAGATGATACTGCTTCTCATTCATATAAGATCAAACAAACACAACGATCAAACGTAATGATATATCATCGCCTATAATAGTTTCATCAATTTGGTTGAAAATATATCATTTTGATGAGTGTAAAAAGGTGAGAATCACTATTGATATATATGTATGTGTGTGTATGTCTATATCAAAAGATAATCATTACTGATATATGTGTATGTCTATATCAAAAGATACAGAGATAATAATTTGTGAAATAAATTTTTAAAAAATTATCAGATTAAAATTTATGAAAAAAAATTTTCGTTTTTACAACAGAATTAATGAAGAGTGAAAAAAATGAAGTGCCAAATATTTTATTATCAGTGAAATGAATCGCTCTCCTTTTTTTCCCCATAGAGAAATTGAAAATTGCTAGTTTGCAGTCAGTTTGAATTTTCTATCTCAAAAATTGATCATTCCAACTCTCTACAATGTTCAAAACTTAACTGAGCCATTCCAGCTCTCTACAATGTTCAAAACTTAACTGAGCAACTTTTCAACTATTAACTTGCCTTCCTTTCAACAATTCTGACAGTTACGAAATTTTTTGATAAAAAAAATTGCAAAAGTTTTAAAATAACACCTGACACATTTTTTCCTTTTCAAATTCTCAAGAAAGTTTACTAAAACTTTTGCCCGTAATATTTTGCTGAACTAATTAGTTTCAATTTAATTATAATATTTTATAAATGGATGTATTTATACAAATTTATTATGATATGAATAATATGATAAACAACGACAAATATCATCATTATTGAATGAGATTTTTATTTTTTATTTAATTCGATCTTTTAGAATAACATATATTTGAAATACACATAATAATTATATCGAATAATCAAAAGATCATGATTTATTCTTATAAATGTTTTAAAAATTAAATGAAGAAAAATAAAGACTACTTCCCTGTCGAATAAGCAACCTTATTCATCATCGATATTCTATCAACGAGTCTAATTATGGGATTGGGAGTGATGTTGAAATCAAATGAAGAATAGTGCATGTAGGATTATTAAAAGAAGACGATGAGAAATTCAATTGGGAATACAGTAATGAGATTTATGCAAATATTCAACGTAAGGATTATTTAAAAGGTGAACAAGAGAAAGAAGGAAAGATGAAAAGTAGAAAAGAACGATTATGTACATGAAATAAATAGGAAGAGAAAGTAAAAATGCATCAAATTTATCGAATTATTATTCATCAAATAAAACTTATGTATCATATTTAAATATTCGTTTTAATTTTCCTCACTGGCCATATGTGTATGTGTATATGATGAAAAGTCATTAAGGTATTGGGATGCAGAATTCAGTAATAAATTTCCGGTATCAAAACGTGGAGGTCAACGTTGAAAGGATTAAGAAGAAAATATCCAAATTATGCAAATGATTGGGATAATGATTAAAAATGAGAGAAAATAAGAAGTGAAGTTCAGCTTACCGTAATCACAAGAGATTAGAAGAAACAAGTTAAAAAAGCATCGAAAAAGATTTTGGTATTTTAATGCAAGTATTCTTAATCTGAAGCAAATGTGCCGTAATTAATAGGTCTATACAAAATGTTGATAATCAGAAAAAGCAAATTAAAGAATGAAATAACTGTATAAAAACAAAATAAATCAAACAATGAAATGGATAAAATAAATTTAAATCTCAAAGATTACTTCGTGCAGCTAACAGTGTTGATCGATTGAATTTGAAATGTATTAATCTTCTTGGAAAAAAATTTATCAAACCAAAAAATACAATATATACTGCGAAAGCACTAAATTAACACAACCTGAAAATCATACGATAAAAAATATTGTATGCGAAATAAGTAATATATTAGAAGAGATCTAATAAATGCAAAAATATTCATTAACAAAACCATATGAAATGTTAAAACAATAAGTGTATTTTAATAAGTTGCGAATTTTAAAATGCAAATTTTAAATTTTGAAACTTCAAAGCAAAACCTTCTTCCTGAGAGAACAAAAAATCATGAAAAACTCCCTCCTTTTCTTCATTTGTTCATTCTTGCAAAAACAAAGACGATAGATAAGGGAATAATGAGGGAGGGATGCAACAACCCTAAAGAGTGGTTAATCTGCTTGGAAATCTATTGAAGTGGTTAACAAACAGGTGAAAATGATAGTCGATCAAATATTGCAAGTTATATACCATAATCACAGCCATAATAATATCGTTAGAACGAAAAAGCTAACCGACCTCTTTAACTGCTCTTTGGATAATTATTGGGTAGCTGATGAAGAGGGGAAAAAAGGGAAGGTGATATGGATGAGTTAATAAGGTCTAAATAGAAAGATACTGTTGCGCATTATTCAATTGCTCTCTTCGTTTGTTTGCAGATATGTCAAACAAAGCGCACTGTACAAAGAAAGATGACGACGATACAACAACGATTGAAGACTGACAAGTATTATGCAAAATGTTCAAATTACCAAAATTTCCGACACTTTTTTGATAGTTCAAAATTCCGTTTAAATAGCATAAAATTATAAATTTGTAGTAATATCAAATAGAAAAATTAAGGCGTTTGAGCTCATCTAACTCTTTTATTCCTTTTCAGAAAATAATTATTTCATAAACGATTGAAAGCAAATTTTATTTCCATGTTTTTTTTCGATTTTCATTTACCCTACTTTTTAAGAAAAGAAAAAAAGGAAAGTCAGTGTGTATGTAAATGATCGTAATCGAAACTGAAATTTAGCACTGAAGTGATCAGTTAGTATGAATGATACTCTGCATGACAATTCAATTGAAGACTAATAAGAACCATACTCAGCTTATTTGATATTGTATAAAAGGGCAAAAGGTAGGTAGATTATAATGCGACAAGTGCTGACGACTATGGTTTAGCGAAGGGTGAAGTGGACAAAGAAAAGTGCTGTGTTTTCACGCTGCAGCTAATCGCAAAATGAGAAGGTACATAAACCCTCTCTTATATTTTCTACCCTTTTATTCCACTTAGTATATGTCCAGTTTATTCATCCAGCTCGTAAATGATTGATTGTTTTCGCAAAATCATCCGAATCGAGCATTTACGGGTCATCGGAATCCGAAAGCATACCGCGCTCAAGAACCAATCACAAATAAATTCTAAAAGGCAGTTGTTGTTGTTGTTTACACAAAATAGAAAGAAAGATACAGACCACAGAGATAACATTTCAATTAATGAACGACCATCAAATCAACCACCATGATCACTTATCTGAAAATGAGAAAGAAGTTTGATTATATCACGTTTCCGTTCTAGACTTCATTCAAATCATACGGCTAAATTTGAATTACCTAGTGTAAATAGTTGATTCAACTTTAACTATCATCATTTTTCTACTAATCTATTATTGCACCGCCATCCTGTATATCTCAACTCTCCTACTCTACATTCAGAAGAGAATTACGGTGAAATTTCTACACGGATACGGTAGTGTGAGAAGCTTGTAAACAAATGTATTGGAAAACAACAAATAATATGCAACGACTGCACCATTTGGTTCATTAACTCAACATATGCAGGTAGTAATGTAAGCAATACAATATACGTCTACAGACAATTTCCACTTTATTAATTTTCAAATAGTAAAACTTTTCATGCGCTATCCCTTGTACTTGAATATTTTCCAAACTTGGAAATTTTGAACTTCTGTTAAGCCTTTTTAGAATCATTAAAATACTAGAAAATAACCAGCAAAGAAACGCATTCGCCCATGAACTGCTTTCCTGAAGGATTTTAAACGTGGGAATTGTGTCACTTCGCTTGATGTTGCATCATTTTGTTGTGGTTCATATTTATTGCTACGAATTAGATTTTCATTTTTGATTCGCTTATAAGCACTTCCTGCAATAATTTTTTTTTACCTTTATGTATCAAGAAAAGAGTGAAAAAAGTAATTGGCTGCTTACTTAATAACTTAAATAGGGGTTAGTTACTGATTGATAATTGTATAAGTATATTTTTTTCATTAATTTACGGAATAGCTATTCAATCACTTGCTTGCCTTTTTCCTTAAATTACTTTTATTTTTTGCTACAGTAAAATTTCAACCTCAATGTCAATAAAAAATTTTGCTACAAAAATTTAACCATAATATAATATTGTAGATGAGAGCAGTAATAAGCAATATGATAAAGATTTAAATATCTTCTCCCGAAAATCTTTTTTTTGAAAACATTTTTAACAAAAGTTCCAAACCACCACTTTTGAAATTGCTCATAATCAATCAATCATTCATAGAATGAACTGCATCAAAATGGTTTCGTTGTCCTTTAACCAGAAGGACTAAAATTTGGAAAAAAAGAATTTATAGCAAATAGCTACGAAGTCAGCGATTACATAACATTGCCAAACAAGGCATGACAACCCAAATTCTTCAGAATGATGCAATCAATCAAATATTCATTTGAACTACAAAATAATGGCGAAAATCAGTAAAAGAGCTGGAAATTCAAAAGCGAATTGTAGACACAATATGTCTTTTGGCCAATGATCGGCAAATAAATGTCATGCAATCCTGACAGAAAGCAATTTTATTCGCCATGGCGATAATTGCTTTGACGAGTTTTGAGTGAGAAAGAATCATTATTGTAAATGCAGGGAATATTGGAACGCTATTCCGAACAATGCATCATTGATAAGCGCAAACAAAAACAATGCGATGAAGTATAAGGAACTGTTAACCCATTATCCATTTACCTAATATGATCAACTGTTAGCGAAATTTAAAAATATATGAATAGAATTAATGATTTCAATACGATCTCACGGGCTCTTACTTATTAGTGCTGTGCTACCGTAATTAAATAAAAGTAGTGTTAAAGTCAGAGGAAACAAAAATTCAAAAAAATGCTGAAAAATGATGAAAAAAGGTTTTCGAACATGTCAGAAAGGCAACAGAAATACCGGGATATCAGAAATGCGAATGATTATATTAATTTGGTGCAATATTAGTGATAAAATAAACATGCATACAATAATTAAATAGTGCAAATTTTTCCTTCTTGTTTGATGGAAGTGTATGAAAATGCAAGTGATGTGAACTTTGGAAATGAAAGCTTTATGTTGCCATTCAACAACTTGACAGAAACAGATGGAAATGATTTGCTTATATGTATGGTAAGTTTGTAAATAATAGGGAAAAAAATAAAACTCGCTATCTATAAACTATATGAGCCTAAAGATTATTAAAAAAATGATGCATATATTGGAAATGAAATGAAGAGATTGGCGGTCCCTCGGTGAAGAACGATGCCCCCTTGAGTGATTACGAAAAATCAACATATTCGAACGATCATTGTAAATAACGAATGGATGATGGATCTTCCTACTGGATTGTGCCTACCGATCACCACATAATAAAACCATATGGTTCGTATGTGTTTATAACAGTGAATTTATTATAGAAGAGTCTTTGTTTTTTTCTTCATAGAAGAAAAAATTCGAATTTCAAACACTTCACAAATGATTTTGTTAAGTGATTATCTAAAATTAGTGGAAGAATTTAATACCTAAAAACATCTTATTTTTTTTCCATCCAAGAAACTTCGAATTTATTTCATTCTTGAGCGAAGCAATAGGAAATGCTACAAAATGACAGATCGCTTCATTTCATTATAAGATGGTCGTCCAATGCTTTAGAAAAAAGAAAAGCAGATTTCAATAGTTAGTCGATATTAAAATTCACTAATGGTGGATGAAAAATAGAGTTCAGAAGTTTGCAAATACTGCCAAATAGTGATGAAATTTTACGTATTTACCTTGTTCTTCTATTAAATAATGCTGATAAGTATGTCCGGAATAATCCTCAATTGATGCATCCGCACCTGAAAAAAAATTCTAAAGAATTAAGAGAATAAAAAATGATTTAAAATGATGAGAGCTATTAGAATTGGCATCCCTGAAATATTCTAATTTCTCTCGGTTTTTCTGGACAAGTTCCCCTTTTAGTTTTTTGCACTTACGGTTTGAATAAAGCAGCCACCTACAATGGCAATGAAAAGTAACAAAAATGGTAAGCAAGGAAGTACGCAAGTCTGTCAGGAAGCGAATAAATAGGAAAAGAAACTGGGAGCATTAATGCCCAGCAGCACACTCACCACAATCTCGTAGTAAAATGGAAATGATTTCGTGCTGTTTACCGATGGCAGCAAGGTGGAGGGGCGTATAACCACTCTAAATGCCTTATTTTCCTGTTTCAAATTTATCGTACGTTAAGAATATTCGTAATAAATCCAAAAAAAACTTACGGCCTGAAAGAAAGGTAAAGTTAATGAATTTAAATGCAATGAATTCGACTTACATTTCACCAATTTAAATATGCATTTTCGATTTTGAGTGCACAGAAATACTAGAGGAAATATATAATTTCCATTTTCAGAGATGTTAAGTAGGTAATACCCAGAATTAGCTTTGGAAAGAGAATAATTGACATGAATGTTTGAAAAGACAAATTAGGAAATGCGATATATAGTGTAAAAGAGTTGAGGCAGGAATGATATATTCGGTAAATGCTTGTTCTACAAACAGTCGATACCTAAGTAGCACGTTTTAGAAACCATAGTTGTTACGTAAGATCCTATTAGTCTTAAAATAAAATTCACAGTATTTAAAAAATTGTTTTAAAAGGAAGCAAAAAGAATTTCCCTTCAAAATCTTCAAAACTTTTGAAACATCTAAAAGTTTGCTTACAGTTCGAAGATTGACATCAGCACCATTCATAACTAAAAATCGCAGCACAGAACTGTGGCCATCCTTAGCAGCATAATGTAATCCACTAAAGCCATGATTTATTGTTGGTGCACATGAGATCAGATAAGGCTTAAAATTTTTTTGACGATACACTTTAGCAAAATTTAATTAAAAAAATTCAGACCAATACTGCGATTTTAAACTGAAATTAAAATAATTAAAAATAGTTAGAGGGCATCAAGGGATAGTGACGCATGAGAAATTCCGAAGCGATGTATAAAAGGAGATTGTGGAATAGAATAGTAAATGACTTATCTCTCTGTATCTACTGTATGATATCCACATAACTAATAGATAAAACATCTTTCTAACCTTTTCTTTTACCAGCTTACCAACGGTTTGCAAGTCACCAGTAGAACAAGCTTGGATCCATCGCACAGTAAGAACTGCATCAACCAACAACGATTCCTCATGAGAAAAAATTGTTGAAGACTGAAAATATGTAATTTAAATAAACTGAATATAAATTTATTGTTTTAATTCTTAATTCCTATCGCAAAACAATATTCGTATGTCTGAACAACATTCAATTCAAGTGATTAAACAGAATGTTTAAAGCCAATTAAATAGTATAATACAATGAAGTGTGTCTATCTATTCCCATAGAGAATATAGCAACTCGTGATACTTTCTTTACTATTTCAGTGAGATTCAGTATAATAATAGATTATGTTAATAAGGAAATTTTTAGTGCTTTCTATTCAACAATTGTACAGCTTATATGAAAGCAAATGAAATATATAATTTAGCTTATGAAGTAAAGTGTAATTCGAAAATTTTAATTATTCCGATGTGAAATTAATTAATTTTTGATAATTGAATGAGAAATAATCGAAAAAGGAATTACTCCGCCGCTTCAGCGGTCAATGCAACTTTCATATTCAAGCAAAAAACTTCGGTAATTCAAGAATTTTACTGAGCAGAAAGTTGCAAATCACGTGGATGAATGAAAGAAAAGACAAAAGTACGAAGGGAAGAAAGTTCAAACAAAATAGCAACAATGCGCAAGTACCCACAAAAGCTTTTCATCCAACAGCTGCCACAATTAATTTAACAATTTAAGTAATGATCTTTTTGATGCCACGATTTGCGGCAAATTATATTACATAAAGGAAGCAAAAATCATGAAAGATCGTTATCGATACTGCTTGACACGTAACATACATAGCAAACGAATCAACGACCGTCGTATTACAGCATGTATAAACGTTATTCCACGTGAATAAGTAATCGTTTTAATAACATTGCAACTATAAGACATTTTTCTAGAGAAACTATACAAAATCCTTGATATATGAATAATAGGACAATTATTATACGATTCCATGGTTAGTACGGAACTCTCTTTGATATGAAGTGACAGTAATTCAGAACTAATAGCAGTATTAGCAGTGGTAGCATTACTATTATTATTATTAGCAACAGTATTATCAACAGAAGTGTTAGCTGTAAAAAGAAACAAAATTAGTGAAATAATTTATGTTGACAGGTCAGAAATCTTTTTTCTGCAAAATTTGTGAGGATGTGATCGGCAATGACAGGATAGAGTAGTTCGGCACTCTTACCCTCTTTTTACCGGAGGTCGGCCGCCTCTTCATCCCGAAAATCCGCATTAGCTCTATTAACGCTAATTCGACGGTTCAGTGCACATGCATACACATACACTCACACACACACACATTTATATCAAAATCATTTACATTGTCGATGCAGTATGTTAAGTTTGACTGACAAAAGAATACATCAGATGAAGTTCAACAATAATTTTTTTTCAGTTTTGTTCGGGTCAAGAATAACTCCAGTGGTACCCATAATTTGTTAATACCTAAATGACGGATATAATAAATGCAATATTTCCTTTAAAATCATTCATATAATTTATCAATGATAACACAAACTTTTAAAAAAGAACAATAGCAGTATTTACGGATTTACAGCTAATTAAGGATAACAATGAATAATGCCTGCATTTACTGATGAGGCAATTGATAATTCTCTTATTTTCTGTTGAGATACTGTCAGATTCAAACAATCATTTACTTATATGAATAGTTAAGATTAAATCTGTCTAATTCAGTGGAACAACGAAAATATTGACTCTAACTTGTGACGAAATGCCTATCCTTATTTAACTTATAGATTTTAAAAAATGATAATTTCGAAAATTGTTGTTTAATGATTTCTTTTTTTAAAATCTTCCTCTTTCTCTTCCTCCCTTAACCTTTTTCCCCTTCAGTTGTCCAAGATGGTGCATCAATTTTAAAGCGCAATTTCTTTCTTACTTTTTTTTCTAAAAAAGGATACCGCTAAAAATAAATGTACTCAGTTTAAGCAGATGTCCACTCATCAAAAATGGGACAAAATAACATCATTTCGATTAATTTCATCAAGACTATCTTCCGGAAGGAAATACTGCAAAGCTTTTCCTAAAGTCATTTCAAAATCATTTATTTTCCACTTGCAGTCCACTTCTCCGGTAATGTTTTGTCATTGAGGTCAAAAGTCTAAAGTTAAGTAAAAACAAACAACAAATCGCGACATAATCAGTTAAAAAAAAATTAACAATACGAACATATTTGCCACTTGTAGTTGCCTTTTATATGTTATTATCAACGTCAACATACATATAGTTGGTTGGGATACCTATAATTACTCAATATTCATTTACTAATTCAATTATGCACTATCAATGGCAAAAGTGCCTATTTAGGCTTAAAAATTCGATCTTTGCTTCTTTTCTAATTTTTTCTAATACTTAGTTCTATTGAATCAATCTTTTATCACAACCATACACGAAGCCATTTCATTCTGAAGCAATTTTCAAACCATTCCCATAAACCAATCAGCTTTTTTGATGAAGTGAGATAAAATGACGGTGGGGCTCCGTCGGATGAGAAATTATGTCCTGTTGAATTGATAGGGTCGCGATTTGTTCAACAATCTAAAGTCTCTCCTTCATCTCTTCAACATACCAGAACGTACATATCAAAAAAGCTTCATCTTGTTTTATCTATCATTGAAGTGGATGGAAGAATCAGTGACTATTACAGAGTGCATGGAGGATTATTAAAATAAAAACTAATGTAAAAATATAATTTCGGAAAAAAGTCATGGAAGTCGATATAATCCTTCATTTAATGACTTAAAAATGTACAACAGCAGAAAAAAGAAAAATGCTTCATTATTCTAAGACTTTACTTCAGATTTACAACCAATGAAGGCAGATTTAAAATTTCCTATCTAGTAACTAGGTCATGTATTGGTGAGCTGTGTGTTTTAACATTATAATTTCTATAACGCTTTGTTTTCTATTTTAAAGACACTTTTTTGTTGCCTAATATCTTAATTTGTTGACTTAGACAAAGAAAGAGGGCCATAACTACGAATCATGACGCATATCAAAGTCATAAAATACGGCCTGGCACATCGAAGTTATAACAGCATTTTCCATTATACGGTATTCCGTAAGAAACCGATGAGTTGAATTATTTTATATATTAGTGCCGATGCTGCCTAATCCAATTGCTAGTTTGTGATTCAAATATGATATTTGAATAACTCGAATAAATCGAGTTTTGATTAAAAATGCGTTAATATTATGTCTATTCAAATTCAAAAAGATCGTCTGATACATGTCAAAGGGATAAATAATAAATATGTACCACTTTCCGTTTACTTTTAGAAATACTATTATCTGAATTTCAGTGCATCTTAATATATTAACAAGTCGGCCATTTACCGTATACTCTATCATCTGCTCCATACATCGTAAGAGTTAATCTCAGATCATATTCATCGTTACTCATTCACTTACAAGTGGATTCCTTATTTCATCTATGATTTTTTAATGCAGTTACCTTTCAGATTCATGGTATCAACTGCTATTTAAACATACTACAAACCGGTTTTCCGATTCCTCAGAGGATACCAAGGATATGTCCACTTGCCTCTTCTCCTCTTCCCAGGTAATACCATCCATTCATCCTCCTTAACATCCTTCTCTCTGTCAACTGTCAACCGCCATGTGTCAAACACTCGTCACGCCACCAATCTTTCTAAGGGTAGCAATTTACACATATATATACCCACACATACACACATAAATGAAGTGCGAAAATTGGATTTGCTGCAATTTTTGTCCAACAACTGACATTTGTCCGACACATACATACATACATACATCCACATATATACATACACCACACATGTTTGGAGGCAGGAAATTAGCCGGATGAACGGATGGATAGATGAATTGATGAAGGCTTCGAATGATGTCGGGATCATTTGCGCACAAAGATTAAAACAAGCGGCTTTTATCACCACCACAAAACATCAATTATCACTTATAAACTACTAAGTACCCTCAGAACATACGCACATACCATATATAAAACACAGACATACACGTAAATAAATAGGATAGATGAATCTTTAATATTACAACATTATTTCTGACAATCAATTTCCCGGTGGGTTTCCTCCTGTCCTCCCAACCTTCTTCCCCTTCCCCTTTCCCCTCCTTATTCCTCCGCCTTTTCAATTGCTCCACCTTCACCTCCACCAATTCCTCCTCCTCCTTTTATATGTTAATGATGAAATGGAGAAGGGGGAGGTCATCATCATCATCAGCACAGTTTTTGGAGTCAATCACGCAAAACTGCGACAACCGTCCTCCTCCCCCTCTTTTCCTCCTCCTCCTCACCCTTTTAACGGATCATGAGTTGGTTGATTGGCTGGCTCGTCATTTATATCAAACATAAGCAGCAACTAAGAATTCCTCTTTTCCGGATTGATTTTTACAACAGCAATTTGATTTGTATTTTGATCTCTTTTTAATATAAATTTAGTCTTTTCACTTTTCAACTTATCAACGATTATCATTCCCTCTTTATCTTTTTCTTTTCATCTCATTCATATATAAGTTTCAACAAATCCAACGTGGTACTGACAATAACCATCTGCATTACTCTCACATCATTTCATCCTGTTAATGTATTTCAAAAAAAAAAAAGAGATTAACCGTTCCTACCCAACATATATGCAAGACAGACGACACGATACACTCACTGCGACCTCTATCGGATTCCTCTCCTCCTCTATTCCAATTTATGCTCAAACTCACCGTATCCATCAACCATTCAACTTACCGACGAATGCTTTATTAGAACCAATATCCACACTTCGTTTTATGAATACCAGTACAAATATTACTAACTACCATTCACGCTACCATTTTTCATTTTGTTTTATCGTCGAGTTTACAATTTATTTCCGATTGAAAATCCATAATGATATAGACTCATATAGGTTGCAGTGGTGAGAAAAGTAAATCACTGCAAGTACAACAAGTATGGATAAACACTAAATCCTTCCAATTTTATTTCTTCCTAAGTAAGCAATATATCAATTTCTCTGGGCCTATAATTTAGACCATAAAAAGCATACCTCATTACGACTTTTTTCTTGTGACTTTTTCATTGGTTTTTGTTCCTCATTCATTTCATTGTTACCAAATATCCGGAAATCAGCAATTTCTAGTTCGTCATCTATTCTTGCAAATGGACATTGGATATTTTCGCTATCATTTCCAGCGATTGTCTGTAAAAACTTCGCAACATTCCTTCAGTTTTCCATTATATGCCTTGCTTTTTTTAAATTAATAATTTGCGATGAAATATATGAATTATGATGGATGCTAACGGTAAATTTCACCAAATAGCGGGCAGCTTTAGCGCTGATGGGAAAAGTTCTTCCTTGCTCCCATCCTCTGTTCTCTTCGCTGTGTCGTGATTTATTCGCATGATTATTTATAATGATGTGATCCTTGCATCAAACAGTTGTTACACAATGTTAAATGATCCTTTCCTTCTATACTGAGTGCCCGTTGTCATTTTGAAATTTTTTTAACCAATAGCTTAGATTTTCATAATTTTCAAATTATTGATAATTTATAGAATGAACTCATAACTAACTTTTGATCATCAGTTAGCAAATCCAAGGCTACTAAAATAAAAAGATAATGCTATGCCAACCATTTATACAGTCGTAAGCATTTGTTCCGCGGACTTTTTTAAACCATTAAAAGAAATGTAATTATCGATTAAGACATGCGTTTTACAGTATTGAAAAAACTTCCTAGACTTCAACGATCAGTGGAAATTTCAGTTAATGTAAAAACGAGTTCGTTAATTAGCAGCAAATAATTCGTATTAATTAGTAGGATTATTCACCCCTACATTCCGTATTGCTTTGAAAACCGAAGACTTCAGACCGTCTGGACTTCGAAATCTCCCTGAATTTGATGCTTTGTGCATCTTTCAAAATAGTTCTGCAACAATCTGTAAGCACACGTTTTTAATTTTTGGTGGAGTGATTTCATTTTTTTTTTCAAGCGCATTTTGAATAGTTAATCAATTTTGACTAGAAATAATTAACTAGCTAATTTTTGGCTTGATAAAAGAACTACGTTTAAGTAACCAATCAATAATTAATTTTTTTTTTCTGATATGTGTAGATCTCAGAAACACTCGCTGAACTGTACTCATGTACTTATAATTTTCCATCATACAAGATTTAACAAATGACGCTGTTATTTTACAACTAAGTACAAATCAGGTTGAAATATGGTAAAAGTACAAGATGTAAGGAGTGGGGAAGAAACGACATAATGAAAATTATCAAGGACATATATTTCACATCGATCTAATGTAATGTCCCGCTGGGATATGGGTAACAGTAATACAAATTCATTCCATGTTTGAAAATTTCGGATACATGATGTGTCGAAAAATGACAACAATGCAATGCTGCTGCAGCGATTAGTTGTGATCATATTCATATATATATAGAAATTGCTGGGTACGATCATTTCAAATTTTGGAATTTAAGAATGTAGAATTGATTGTTGGGCTAAGTTAGAGAAGCTTACTGCAAAAGATTGTAAAATTCAATTTCATCGTCTTATTCAAAGAAGATCGTTCACAATTACTCATAAAGGGATAGCTCCATTGATAAGGTAAATTTGATCAGAAAATGAATGATGAAAGGATGTGTGAAGTGACTTTTTCAAGATTTAAAATTAAGGCGCTGTAATACTTCGCAAAAGCACCTTAATTACCCTTAATTTTATACTAGTTACATATAAAAGAACAGGATATAAAATGAAGAATCCAAAAATAGTAGTAAAATAGTGGTAATAATAATAATAGCAGTAGCAGTAGTAGTGTTAGTAATAGTAGTGACAGCAGGATTAGTAATAATAATAGGTGAAAGTCCAGATTTGGGGATGAATGATTGTTAGTAATGGTGATCTTACGTTGATCTTAGTTCCTTTTTTTTTTCGATTCACCCAGGCGGCGCCTCTCGTCTTCCATAGACATATTTCATTTTCAGCAGAAACTTAATGACTTTCAGATAAATCATTATAACTTTCCCATCTTAGCAACATAATGAAATAGTTCGTTGTAAATTGCGGAAGCATTTGCAAATCTTCTAAACAACAGGTACATAAATATATAAATTCGTATGTTAGTCTTATTCTGCCAAAACGGTTTCCATATATATAAATCATGGAAGGAAAGAGTAAAAAATGAGAGTAAAAAATAAGTATCGCGGAAGAATGGGAGAAAGGAAATGAAACCGTGTAGATGTCTCAATCATTTTTAACCTTCTTCTTCTACACTATAAAATAAAATAGGAAAAAAAATTATACTGCTCTGCTTTTCTTTTAATTCACATAATTTAAACGAGATCATTGTTAATGTTTCCATGTAAAAGAAATTCCTTATTTATGTACAGCAATTAACAAATTTTGATTGGTGTTCAAATATTTTCAATTTCGACTATTAAATTTCAATTCTTTTCTTAATTCGCAGCTGTTGATCGGTGGTCTTTTGATAAAAGACTGGTTATCATTATTCATTTTTAAATGTTATTACAAATATATATGTATGTATTACACTAATCATAGTTTGACACTGCTTAATACCTTAGTGGAACATTGTCGAACATGTCGTATTTATAGATATCAATGCAGCCGAATATATACGCATATACATACATGTTTCACTAAGGTGTTAAGACATACACATAAATATAAATGATCATCTACGTGTCTTTACTCATTTAGGTGTTAAATCATAATTGTAAACTAAATGATGAATAAATTGAACGGGAAGAATACCTCTCAAATGTATATCTATCCTTTTGCCTGTTTTGTGTATAATTGAAATTGGAGATGATAAGAACATGAATGAAAAGAAGGAGTAGGATAAAGAGATTTTCCTCTCTCTTACCCGGTTACTTCAATTTTTATCATTCTTCTAGCTTCCTGCAGTCTTCCACCCTTCTTCCTTTGCTCATCATCCCTAAGTGACGATGACAGCTATTATAGTAGTAATATCGAATCGTAGTCGGTTCCCTAACCCACTGAGTATAAAATATCATAGGGAATAGTGTGAACATATGTTCAACACCTCCTTCTTAACTGATGATTTATCTTACAAGTGACCCCTACTACCGATACTACTGCTACATCTTATGGTTACTTCTGAATCATCACTATCTAGGTCATTAGCTCCCTAATATGACCGATCAAAGAACGGTAGATGATGATTATATGTTAAATTCTTTTTCCTCCCTCTCCTCTCCAAAAAAAAGTTGCTTGTTAGAAATTAGTGATTTATCTTTCAAAAGATGAACATTATCGCATTGCTACAATTACACTTATTACAGATTGCCTTCTTCCTTCTTACCAGAAATTTAGTTAAGGTTCAATCTCTATTATCATCGGCATGTAGGAGACTTTTCCTTTGGTATAAAAATAGTGTGTCAAATTTACTGCACATTATATTCTTGACCGGTTATCTCATTCATTCACAAACTCTTGCCAATAGAAGATCAGTATCTCTTCGTACATCTGACAATTTACCTTCCAAAAGAAAAACTTCTAAGTCTTAAATGTTTGGTAAGAATAGATCTTTCTGTTATAATCCTAGCGCAGTACAATTTTTTTTCCAAACGTGAATCCTTCTTGAAAGCCTCGAAGCAAACGTCACTTGTATTAGGGGATTTTTCCGCCCAACAACACACACAGCGATGTCTGCTAATAGTGACAATTAGATGTTTGATAATCAGCAATCCTTCAATTAGTCTTCGTGTGGCTTATCAGCTTTCAATATCTTGGATGTTTAAAATGCTGTATTGCTGTTGCTCGGGATGAGTCCACTTATTTGCTTCAACTTGATGAATAAGGGTGATAGGAGGTGAGGGTTAACGAAAAGCCGAGGGCAAACGCACTCAATTTTCTGAACCATAAAATGCATTTAACGGAAGGAAGAAGACAAGATGAAGAAGGCTTAGCGCTTTTCACTCTTATCAGCAAATTCTAATCTGCTTTGAGACTAATCCTGATATGCCTTTGTATGCTATTGTGAATTTCTGACTACCTTCTGCTAATGCACCGTATTACCGTACTTCCTGGAGGGTCACTTTCTACTGTATGAACAGGTAAGACGGTAGATAAAAAAACAAATAGATCAAGCAAAGATAGTATCCGTATCACAATTAACAGCAGGATCAGCTTTCGTGAATCTATTTGAATGATAATTTAATTAGGCTAGAATAAAGTTCTAAACATCACGTTTTTAAAATCCTTAGATTACTAATTCTTCGTAATTCTTTGCTATTATGTCTAACTTATATGACGGAGAAATTTCTCATTTTGCTTGCACTACTTGCATCAACTATCCGAACGCCAGAATCAAGCAAGTTTTCATCAATCTTTCCAAATCGGAGGTATTTTCTCTCTTTCTCTTTTTTCTCTTCCTCATCTTAAAATGAGATGAAAAAATCTATTTAAGTTTGGGATAAGTATGAAACTTGCTATACAGCAGAAAATCTTCAAAATTCACCAACTCATCATTTGAACTGGCGTCTAAAAAGTAGCAATTAATCAAGCAGGTGGAAGACAAAAATTTGTTTCTTCGAGGATATGTGAACAGTAGAAATTTCGTCTTAGGCACACACTTATCATCATCAGCAAAGGATCTTTCATCATCATTCCTTCGTTTTTAGGAAAAAAATTTGCAAAAATTTGGAATCTACTATTTCGCTATATAAATTAACAATTACATATACTTATATATAACTAATATATTTATATTAATTAACCTATACATATATCTAAATAATATATATGCTCACAATGATTATATATATTAATGTTATGTAGATGTAAGTTCACGCATAAAGCAAATTCCAAAAATTTCAAATCAAAAACGTTCTCACTGACGATGTGTCATGCGATGCATATAACAAATAAACACATCATTGTTATGATAACGAAACGGCATGATTATCATATTACAGTGATTGTCATTCATGAACAGGACGATAACGATAATAGTTGCCTATAATTTTCTCGTACTTATTAATAATATATGCGAATTCACGAACACTTCGTTTGTATGTATGTGCATGTGTGCTAAATGTATATGTAAAGGTAAAAGCTAATAATAATTAGATGGACAATAATATTAGCTTACATTTAATTGCAAATTAATTTCACTTTTAACATATAAAATGTTAACTACTTGTGCATAATTGACGACCTTAACAAAAGTCACAAACATAGGTTTGCTGCTAATTATTGTAGAAATTCAAACTTATGTTAATTATTTTCTAACGTAACTTTCTAACATAATTACAAAAAAGGAAATTAAGGAAACATTTGCATACATAAATGCATGCATATGAAATTCTCTGTTAGGATACAGAATTTCTAAAACAGTAAATTACAACTAGTCCATACATACTAACCGATAAGTGTAACAAATTCGCAATATATAACTTGTAAACTGTAATACATGATGATAAGCTTCTCTTGGATAATATATTGATGCATTATGATCCTATGACTTATTAGTGTCCAATCCAAATAGGTTACTACTAATCGTATCACATTATTTTACTCGATGCCTTCATCAGTTTTTCTTTTTGTAATCTTTTAAATTATCGATTTTTTTCAAAGAATTTCTTCTAGAACAGGTTGAAATTAGTATATATTTTATAAATGAAATTGGAGTAAACTATTTCCAAAGTAACAAATCGTATAACGAATAGAGGGAACAGGCATACAAACAATGCCAGCGGAAAGTATTCCCGTATTTATTATTTATATCGAGAAAGCTAATCATATATTATGTAAAGTTTTGCTGAAATGGTATACAATAGGAAATTGAAGGATTATAGAGTTAGACAATAAGATCAGTGTTGTGGAATAGAAGATTTATAGGTTTATTAAGTACCATTCATA